TTCTTTCCTAAAGCCTGACCTGGAATTAAGAAACAAACCCACCTCCAATTCCATACACAGCCGGCCCTCTCTCATTCATTAACTCCAGCTCTTTGGGAAAGAATTCCCAAAATCTCAGGGAATTAAAAGCACCATTTAATTCCTTATCCCTCCACGTGAAATCCCTTCTAAAAGCTGCCGGCCCCCTCTAAAGAAAAGAATTTGAATTTATTTCCCTAACTCATTTCACGGAATTAAGGAGTTGAATTCCCTCAGCCTCCCTTGGATCCCGCCGTCCCTTCTCCTCTCTCTCTCTCCCCATTCTCCTTTCCACCTCCACTTTCCTATTGGGCTTGATTTTCCAGCAACCAGAAATTTCAAGCCTTTAATTACTTCCCAAATCTGGGAGGGGAATAAGGAAATAATTCCCCTAGTTCTCCTCTCTCCCGTTAATCTGTCCAGAGATTCCCGCAGCAGTACAGGGTTGCTGTCCAGATTTTTGGAAGCTGTTAAACTGCTGTCCAGCAGTTTTTCTGCAGCTCCACACTAACTGGCCAGCCCCAAAATTCAATCCGTTGCTGTCCAGACTTCTCCTAGTTCCTGTTCCACCTCTTGCTAAGAAGGTTTGGAACGTGAAATAGCTGATCTGGAAGAGGAAAACTGCTGTCCACCATTCTTCTTCAGCCCTTGGAAGACCTCTAGCTGCTGGCTGGAATCAGAGTTGCTGTCCAAATAACCTTAGATCCTCTCCTTAGCTGCTGTGTTGGAAAAGGAGCAACTGGATTTCACTTCAGTTTCCCCTCTAAAGGAAGAAAATTCCATTTCTAGTATTGCTTCATATTTTTCAAGAAAATTTTACCAACAGACAATTCCAAAGCATACAAGTCATCCACATCAAAGAAAATATGAGAGGACATTAATTAGAATTTGAAGTACGTAAAACTAAACATTTTTTCTAATTGCATAAAATCAGGCATATGATTAAAAAAATTAAGAAAATGCAGATTTTAGGAAATTTGCTCACCAGTTACATCTTTTTGATGTCCACGAAATGATTCAAGTTCTTTCATGGATCTAATGTCATATAGCTGGAACAATAAAAAAAAATTAATGCACACAACTAAATACCACATAAAATGAATTCATTCATAGCAAGGAATAAAAAGAATTATCTCACCATTCTATTTACTGCATCCAGTAACTGACATTACTCACAACACATTGTTATAAAGAAATCAAAATGCAAAGGCCAAATGCCATTCATAAGCACTATATCTCCACAAAATAACCCAAATAACGTAGCTTTAATAAAACTAAAATTTGACCAAGCATGTGTGTGCACGTGCTGATAATTTTGGAGAATTGCCCTGATTTGGAGAATAAACAACGAAAAAAATGAAATGAAAGTGGATCAAACTAAATTCGAAAGGTGAACATGGAAGGAGATTAGATTCAATCTCTTTTGGTTTAATTGAATTCAAATTCACGAACAGATTCATGGTGGATTTGGTCAGAATTTTCGTGGAGACTTCATGAAATGAGAAGCAGTAATTGGCTGATTGGTGGAGAGGTAGAGTAGATGGACTCGCTAATGGAAAGTTTGATGATGGTGTAAAAGGTAAGCAAAGGTCCTCAAAGGGAACTTCATGTTTATTAACTCAGTTTTCACCAAACTTTTTACAACTTTAAGCACAGTTACTTTTGGACCAATTTACCTTCCATCATATTACATATTTTTCCATCTTTGTACCTTATTAGTGCATTTTTTGCTCACAATTGTATATGCCCAAACCACCTTTATCTATTTTCATCGAGTTGTAATCCCAATCTCTCTAACTCAAATCACTTAGCATTATATTCTTCTTAGATAACCATATATTAATACAGCAAAATTAAGCTAGTTTAGCACCAAAAAATATATATTACATTTGCATAGGTCAGCAAAAAGGAATCAAATCGAGCTATAAAGGAATTAAATCACAACAATTTTCAAGTCTTTTTTAATTATATTTAATTTGGCAGAGTTTTACATCTTTTATCAAAATTTATTTTATGTTAAATTAAGTTAAATTATCCTTTTTTTATTATTGTAGATTTAAATTTCAATTATCTGATAAGGTTGATTTTGGATAGACTTAAATTTGAATTTAAATTATTTGAACTTATCATTGAACCCTATTTCCATAAATAGAGATTGATGGCTTCAATTAAGTATTGACCATTGATGATTGACTAAATGCAAATTATTTGTTAGTCCAATTACGTGTACATCAAATGTACAAATGTAATTTTGAACCTCATAATAATCATGTTGTTGTTGTTGTAGAACATAGTTAACCTGGATTCATTTAAATCGCTTTATTTATTATTTCTTAACACAATTAAAATATCCCACACTCAATTAAAAATATGACACAATCATAATATTTCATACCAATTTGATGCAAATTGATTTTGGGTTTAGATTTCATAACGCAACAAAAATGATGCAATAATTGCAATTCAAACAAAATAAATAAGAATTCACAAGTCAAAGACCACTAAATATGCAAAAAAAGCTTCATTACGTGTAAACAAAAAATACAAGAATTAAAAATCAAATGAAAATGCAATTGATCAACTATATCTAAAGAAAACAACAAGAAAATTGATTCATACAAAATCACTGAGCAATTATAATTTAATCACCACAAATAAATTCTAGAAGTGTTAGATATGAAAAAATTAAAAGCACGAGCAAACCATTGACAAATGAAGTGAACAAGAAATAAAGCGAATAAAAGAAGTAGGAAAAATAGGAATCATGTGAACATAAGAAAATGACTTCCCCAAAATTAGGCAGTTGTACTTGTACTGCATTCGAAGTAATCACAAATACAACTTTAAAATCAGAAGAAGGAATTTTATTTAATCAAAAGTATCAAATTACATGCTACATAATTTGTACTATAATCATTTATTCTCTTAGTCGGTTGCCGTCAAATTCTGATCGGCTACATTGGGTGGCACCACCAAAGGAAGAAAAAAATTCCTAGTCATCCAAATGCCTAAATAAGCATACATTGAATTCGCATTCACATAGTTATAATAACCACACCCAACAAAATAAACACAAGCACTACAGTCCAAGAGTCATTTGCTACTACATTACCTAAAGCTATACGACCCAAAACTATAGAAGGCATAACCATCCCTTGAGCAAATTACAATTCCCAAACATCAAATAAGAGGTAACACTACCATAAAATCAAAAGCCAAAAACTCTCCAAACAATACATAGAACAAACAACATTAATGCTCATTCTTAATGTCATAGTGTTAGACATCAGAATATGGGATTGGATCAAAAAATCATACGCGAAGCATAGGCTAATAATATGGCGGGACAACTAACAACTATGAAGCCTACCAAGAAGGCACAAACACATTCCACAAACATAAATGACAAACCTATCAAAAATTAAAATTCTCTTAACTACAAAAATCTCTACAACAAGCCAATGTTCAATTTGCTTCCATTGGCTCATCCCTTCAACCAATCCATGCTTTCCTGGATTCCATAGACAAGAAACTTGATAGATTATGTATTGACCGTCCACATTCTACACTTTAACAATATACTTCCTCCGAACGAATCCCTCCTCCAAAATCCCCACCTTCTTTGACCATTGCCCATCGTACTCATCTTCCGTCCTTACCTCAACTGACTAACATCCATCCTTATCATTCTCGATAAGGATGTTATTCATAATCATGGCTCTCTTTTTTCATTCCAATATTATTTCTTCATAAACTGGATAGTACTTAGCAATTTTGCATCAATTCTAGAGCCGTTAATATACTCACTAATATTACATTAATATTTTTATGAATTACATAGAGTTTTTTTCCAAACATTTTTTTCATTCTGCCTCTCAAAAACTTAGGATACATTCTAAAAAAAATATTCATCAAACTATTGATAGTCACCTTGAATTTATATTTCCTCCCCCTCTCTTCATCCTTTCCTTTCTCAACCATGAGGACAAGGTTGTTTTCCATGGAAATGTGAGTGTTAGACATCAACATACGGGATTGGATCCAAAAATCAGATGTGAAACATGGGCTACAAACATGATGGGACAACCAACAACCATAAAGCCGACCAAAAAAGAAGGCACAAACACATTCCACAAGCATAAATGACAAATGGGTTCAAATATGTAATAAAACATTAATCTAATCTTTCTTTTAAGTAGGGTTAGGTAGACCGGTTATATATTGTAAATTTGGTCTACCCAAGTATTATAAATACACCACTTATTGTAAGAAAAGGTGTAGAATGAATAATTTATGGTTTCTCTCCTTTCCCTCTCTTCTATTTTCTCTTGAAGTTTACACCTACTCTAAATGTGCCCCCCTTCTTGGCCCTCCAAGAAGCATATCACATAAGTATCATCAGAGGCATGTTCCGAAAAAAAAAATTTGAAATTACAAAATAAAATAACAACCAATTAAAGGAATTAAATAAACCTTTCCTTCGACAACTAATTTATTTTCTGCTTTTGAAGAAAATAAACATGCAAATCTCTATCACTCGTACACACAATTCTTCTATAATTATAATATTTAGCATAAACCTCCTTAAAAACTAGCACCCAAACATTTCTTATATGATCATTTTGTACCCTGTAGTCTTAAATTTCATCAAAAAGATATAGCAATCATATTACTCCAATATCATCAACGACGTCCCAAATGTAGGTATCTCATTTAAAGATTAAAACTTGCCTTCATGTACCTTCTTCAAGCAAACTTTTTTTAAATAATTCATAATAAACATCATAATTCCCATTATTTTATTCGCCTGAGAATAACTTTATTAAAGCTTTATTCAGTAATTTCTAAAAAAATAATTAGACGTTTTTTTAATGTCCTCATGAATTCACTCTCAATAAACTTTACATGATCAAAGGCTCTAGTCTCTACATTTACTCTTCTTATGACTTATTTTATATATAATTACCCTTTTTTCCATCTTTAATGCCAATTATAATATCATCAAAAGCTTTAACCTTGACTTCTCTTACTACCTTGTTTTGTCAACTATTCTAGGTTATATTTATTTTGTCTCAATATTACTTGAAACACTTAAAAGTAAAATCCTTTGTATCAATTATCCTTTGAATAATCTCATTCTACCATCAAATTTCCCCTGCCTATTTCAATAAACTTTTGTATCTGTTTCAATAAGATTAAACACTAACATTAGATTGACAAACATTGATAGAATTTGTGCTAGAATCCATCTATTGAATCCTGTTTTATAATGGACCATTTCATTTAAAACATATATGTTGACCTATGTAACGGAAACAAAAAAAGAGAAAAATCAAATCGCTTACCTGCTCTGCCCCATCCCGCACGTCGTTGACACAGCTCGCACGACGGCGACGCTCCTCCCACATCGCACGACTTCACGTCGTTAAATAGCCGAAGAGAAGAGGCCTTCGGCCTCTCTCTTTCTTCCGCTTTCTCTCTCTCTCGATCTCCCTCGATCTCTCTCGCTCTCTCCCCGACGAAGACGTTCCCTTTCTGGACGGATCGGAAGTTACGATATTTTGATTGGAAGCAACAAGGAAGCTCGCTAGTGTGAGGGTACCTTCCTACCTTTGGCGCTCTTCTACGGCCCTTCCTAGTTGTTCGATTTCGCTCCATCTCCGACATTCCCTTCCTGTCGGATCGAAGGTTCCGACATTTTGATCGGAACCAGTGACGGGAGTCGCTCGTTGCGATCGTAACTTCCTCCCTTTCGCCGCTTCTTCAGCTCCATTCGTGGTTGGTCGACTTCGCTCCTGGAATGACTTTCCCTACCAGTCGGATAAGGTGCAACAACAAGAGCTCGCAGCTGTGAAGATAGCTTCCTCCCCTTTCGCCGCTCCTTCGGCTTCTTCGGCCTGTTCGACTTCGCTCATTCAACGACTTTCCCTTCCTGAGGGATCGGAAGTCACACATTTTGATCCGAGGCAACGACGGGTGCTCGCCACTATGAAGGTGATTCTTCCTTCTAAGCGTATCTTCGACCAAACCCAGTAAATCTAAATTTTAA